AAGAGGGAGGACAGAGCAGAGGCCAGAGCCCAGTCAGGAAGACGGCGCAATGCCACCACCACGGGCGTCCGGGGAGGAGGGCCAAGTGGGTGACTGGGCCAGGAAGGCCAGCGTTGGAGTGAGAGAGATGCGTGCCCCATCCCGTTGCCGGCTTCCTTCTCCGTCCCTGTGTGGAGCTGTGGCTAGATTCCTCGATGAGGGCAAAGGGCGAGAGAAGTGAGAACCGTCTTCTTGAAGTTCTCTGGGCACCCTCCTGCGGGTGGACAAGGAGCACCTGGGAGACCTTTGTCCTTGGCTGGGGTGTGGTCGTCTTGATCCGAGCAAAGAGGCTGCTCAGGATGGGGAGGGGATGAAAACCCCTGTGGGTCCGAGGCAGATGCCCACGTTGCCCAGGCCTTCCCAAACCCAAACTGGAACCGCAGGGAAAACGACTGGCAACCGGCCACACGACCCAGGCAGGGTCGTGGGGAGAGGCTGCCCAGAAGAAAGGCCGACGTGCAAGAAACCACCCTCCGGCGCACAGGGCACATGTGTCCCCACGAACACGAACACACAGGCGGACGGAGATAGGAAGAGAGCGCGACGGAAACACACAGAAGGGAGAGAGAGAGAAACAAGAGAGACACCTAAGTGGGCACAGAGACCCACACACGGACACATAAACACACACACACACCCAAAGACACAGGGACATACAGCAGGTAACACCCACGCCCAGGCAGCCCCTGAAGCTGCCGGGTTTTGCTTTCTGCCACTGCGACCCAGCGGTGAGAGAGCAGCCCACCGGCACACAGGCAGACCTGTCCTCTAGATCCCTAGGGCACCACTTCTGGGGAAACTCACCGGCACAGCGTCCGCGCACGCCTGAGGCTGGGATCCCGCGCTGCCTCCCGGCGATCCGTCTGACGTTTCTTCCTCGCGAGGTTTCTTCCTCGCGAGGTTTCTTCCTGCTGCTCCACCCTCCGCGAATCCCGGCCTCCGGAGACCATCCTGGTAAGGCCCCGGCCAGGCCTGGTCTCAGCCGCGACTCGGACGCACGATCACACAGGGCTCCTACTTCGCCAAGTCTCAGGGACCCATCCCCGGGCAACGGTGGCGGTCACTGTGACCGAAGCGGCAGCTGGCCCCTCGCGCATGCCCACTGGTAGGGCCGACCTCCCCCCTTGCTCCCGAGTGTCAGGCTGCGGACCCTTTAAAAAATGGCGGCGACGCGGCTGCTGCGGGGACTGACACGCCGGTGGCCGTGGCCGTGGCGGTGGCGTCGGTTGCGGCCGCGATATCGGCGGAGCCCGGGTGGGAAGAGGACTGCGAGAGGGGCCTGCGGGAGACCCAGGGTCGGACCCGTAGGAGTCCTGTCGTCGGGACTTCCTTGATCGGTCTTCTGCTTCGGTTCCCGGTGCAGGAGGAGCTTCAGGGTGCAGCCTGGTCTGTGCCGACTTCTCTCCCCATCGTATGATGGATCCGACCGGGTCATCGGGAATGGGGTTACAATGTAGTGAGGCGGGAAGGGTCTCGCTGGGGCACAGAGAGATCCCCAGGGCCGCAAGGCGTGCTGTCGCCTGAAAATGCACGGACCCATGAGCCATCCGCTGCCCTCCTTCCTTGGTGGAGGAGCGGCCTCCCTTAATCTCCAAGTCCCGAGGGCTCCGGCATCCCGACGCTGCTTCCGTTGACATGGGCAAGGAGAGCCAGAGGCGGGTCCGAGATGGATCCAATGTGACTACAGGTGGCACTGACGTCCCCCGAGAGCAGATGGAGTGGGCGTCTGTCTTTGAGGCCGTAGCAGACGATGGCCAGACGGTCCCTGATGTCCAGCCGTGTGCCCTGGGGGCCACGGGAGACTTCCCCGGCCACGCTGAGGAAAAGCCAAGCACACCTGAAAACCTGCGAGACAGGGCCTGTGCCCGAGTCCAAGCCACGTTCGGGGACGCCTGCCAGAGGGTCCGTCCCAGAGGTTTCCACAAAGCACCCCCCGCCCCCACCCCGCCACCGGCTAGGTACCCCTGAGGCAACCTCCCCCGCACCCAGCAAAACCCTGTCCCTTGCCTCCCTGACATCCGTGGCTGCCAAAAGATTCAGTGCTTGAAGACACTTTCCCCAGGAGCAGAGGAACAGGA